GCTCTGGCTGGGGGCGGTCTGGGAAGCAGAGACCGTGGGATGTTAACCATGAATTGCCCGGGAGGAGCAGGGCACAGTCAAGACTTCTGGTCTAGCTGGGGTGAGGCTGCCCGTAGATACCCCACCAGGGCAACTCTAGGGGCAGGACACTGAACAATGGGGCTGTAGCTGGAGGGGGAGGGCAGGTGTCCAAGAGGACCTGTACCATGCCCTTTAAAGTGAGTGGAAGCATCACGAGAGGAGAGAAGGCCAGGGGGCAAGCAGAGAGACAAGGTGTGTGCCAGCCACGCCGAACGGGAAGACCCATGAGCAAATGCTCTCCAGGGAGGCCCAATCCACACAACCAGCACCGGGGGCAGGAGCATTGTCTACCAAGATGTCCAGAAAGGAGGGGCTTCCGGCCCAGCTGGGCAACTGCGTGTGGGGCTGGAGAGGTGGGCTAGTTACGTGGTCCCCTCCCGGCCAGCCCTGCTCCCTAGATCACCTCTGACACTCTGTGCCGCTCAGTGCTTTGGGGCAATTTGAGAATTTATTTACAAGAGGGAATGCCAGGGGAACAGTGGGCAGCACCTCTGAGGCAGCACCTTTGTGCCTCTCCCGGGTGCCAGCCCCCTGCAGGTTGAACCAGAGCGGCAAGCTCGCAGGGGCCAGCTTGCCTCAGAATTAAGGAGAACTCGATACCAGAACTCACAGACTTGTGTAAGAACACGGGTAAGCGGGGAGCACACTCATCCCCAGTCCCGTACCAGGCACGTGTCCCTTTGGAAGGCTAGGCCAGCTTCTCACCTTGGTGCTGGGAGCTGGCACCCCCTCGTGGCTGCCCCGAGTAACTTCCCCAGTACCGGGCATCCTTGCCACTGAGCAAAGATTCTGGGCGACCAGAAACACAGGCAGCCGTGTTGCCTGGGTTCTTTGCTGCTAGAATTTTCCTGGTTGTCCCAGAAGGTGGAAGAAGAAAGTTGAGAGCCTGTGCTCCAGATTGCGAATTTACCCAGCAGGGTGGGGGAGGGAGGCAAATCTGATGGGGACTCAGGTGCTCACAACCTCTTTCCTTTTGGCCAAAAAGAGCAGGTGTCCCGGGATCTCCCAGGCCCATATGCCAGCCATCCACAGTGCGGTGGAGGGGGGAGCGCACCATCCCTCCTCCCAGGTGTTCAGGACACAGGAAGAAATAGTCCTGGACACCATTTGGGGGGATTCCTTTGGAGGGTAGCAGGGTTCAGGCAAGGGGCTGAATTGCCCCTGTTGTCCCCAGCCCCTGCCCTACACCCATGAGGGACATCCCCAGGCAGGATATGCTCAAATATCACTGATGCCTACTCACGCCCTCACTCCAGGTACGCTGGGGCTCAGCTGGCCCACAGGCCAGAGCTGAATTTGGGAGGTGAGGGGCTGGAGAGAACTGAGCCGACCAAAAGCTTTCCTTTTCCCGAACGCACGCGCTGGCGCAGCAGGTGCTTGATAAATGCTGTGGGAGGGAAAGAGGCCTGGGAGGTGCTGGGCACAGTCCTTCCCAAGCGAAAGCCGAGACAAAAATCACCAGCGGGCTGGAAAAGTTCCCCAAGGATCCCTGTGTTTGGGGGGAAAGGACTCCAATTCGAGCGGCAAGTCCTTGGGCTGTAGCAGTGAAAGCGCGAAGGGGGAGCCAGGGAAATGGCTTGGCTTCCGTCGGTCAGATCCCACCTTGTTCCCCTTCCAGAGAAAAGGGTAAGGTCAGGCTCCTTAGTCACAGCAAAGTGATGGCGCAAATACCACTATGTATGGAGCTAATTCATTTAAAATGAGATCATGCCCTGGCCGGTTTGGCTCAGGGGTTAGAGCTTCAGCCTGAAGGGTCCCGGGTTCGATGCCGGCCAAGGGCATGTGCCTTAGTTGCAGGCTCTATGCCCAACCTGGTTGGGGTGCGCGCCAGAGGCAACCAACAGGCATGTCTCTCCCATATCAATGTCTCTCTCTCCCACACTCTGAAAAGCAATGGAAAAAAATATATATCCTTGAGTGAGAATTAAAAAACCCAAAACGGCCCTGGCCGGTTTGGCTCAGTGGTTAGTGTCTGCCTACGGACTGAGGGGTCCCGGGTTCGACTGCAACTAAAGACGCGTACCTAGGTTGCAGGCTCGATCCCTGCCTCATGCAGGAGGCAACCAATCGATGTCTCTCTCTCACATCGATGTTTCTCTCTCTCTCCTCCCTTTCCACTCTGAAAAGTAATGGAAAAAATATCAAGGATAGAAAAATATATATATATATATATATAACAAAAAAGATGGTCAGCTGCCCACGTGGACATTTTTAGGCATACGCCCAATCATCATTGGTGGTCCTTTATCTGGGAATGTGCCTACTCGCTGAAACTTAGTGGTAACCCCCAATTCAATACCAGCAGCATTTGCATGCACACCCTCAGCTGAGACGGAACAGGACTCCAAAGACGATAAATATTTGGAAAAAAAGTATAATTTATTTGTACATTTCACAATTTAATTTTATAGCTTAAAAAAAGATACAAAACAAGACAAACCGGGGCCACATAAATAGAAAGAAGCACAGGAGGAGGAGCATGTTCTCCCCAGGATGAGCTGGTTCAAACCTGGCTTGGGGAGCAGGCGCCTCAGTGCTGTGTCTGGAAGGCTCTGGACGCTGCTGCCACGGACGCCATGGAGTGGGGCACCCTGAGGACTGGGTTGAGCAACCTTCCACTCCAAGGTTAAGTCCTGGCAGCAGGATCATCTCATTCTTGGAAACCAGTGTGCCGGACAGGAGGCAGACACTCGGGGGAAGCAGTCACGGCAGATCCAGCATGGCCTTCCCTCCAGGGGACACCTAGGGGGCCGGAAGGGGCCCCGCGGAGTCCAAAATGCACCAAGAGGGGTGCCGTTCTTCAGCAAACTCATTTACAGAAGGTGAAATTGGGAGCCAGTCACTGGTCAAAGCAGCTCACATTGGCCACTGCTCATCCTTGGCGAGGACAACAGTTTCAGAGAAGGAAATGGAGCAACGACTTTGAGGCATCACAGCCACAATTCCATGAGCACTGAGGTAGTAACACGTGGAAACGGTGCATGCAAACAGCGCTGAATCACACATCCCTGATTCCCCAGGTAACCTCAATTTCCTCTGATTAGCAGGCCACAGGGGCTCGCCGTGGGGGCACGCATGGCCCGCTGTGAGGACCATGCGGTGCGCACATCTCCAGGGAGGCTGGGAGGGGGGCCAGGGAGGAGGGCAGGGCAAAGGTTGGTCTCCCTGGGCGGAGCCCCGCTCAGCGTGCGGTGGCGCCCGCCAAGCTGCAATGGCTGCCCTTGCTCCAAGGGCTCCGTCTACACTCTCACCCACAAGAAGAAAAAAAGGTTTCTATGGCCTTTCAAGTGACTATCAAATCATCGCCCATGAAGGGAGGGTCCCTTTATTTCCAGCCACCATCCGGGGCTGCTAAGAAGTCAGTTTAAAACGATCCATGGAAACTCTTGTGGGGAGACAGGCCCTGGGGCTACCCCAAGTGGCCTTCCCTAGCAGTGGCCCCGGAGGGTGGCCCCTGCACATCCCACCGGGCTTTCTCCCTTTCCATCTCAAGCCATCCAGCAGCTGAGAGGTCACTAGCCCCATGGGCATGCCCTGGGTGGGCTCAGAAGGAAGATGCCAGCGGGCAGACTCCATCCCTCTGCCCTGTGTTGGCCCTAGGCACCCACAACCAGCTTGGCCGGAGCTGGCTGGGCCCGGGGAGGAGCCACCGTGGCCTGCACAGAACTGTGGAGAGTGCCAAAGACAGACAAGTTCACTATTTAATAAAAATGACAGGACCTCTGAATCATTTCTAAAAATACATTATGCACAGGGAAGTAAAAATCAGCCCCTTCACTTTCTTGTTGAACGGCGTCAAGGACAAGGCCGGACAGGTTAGCTGTTTGCCTGTTCCAAAAGGAAAAGAAATGATGTTATTTCATTACGATAAACAAAGGTAGAAACTTATGTTTTTCCCCTAGATTGGCAAGGCCCCTATACACCAATGAGCAAGCTTACGAGGACAGAGGGACAGGATTTTCCTACAGTGTGAAGGTCTAGGAGTCAGCCTGTCGATGGAGGGAAGGCAGCTGGGCTGAGGACCACACATGCACAGGCTGGGAGGGAGAAGGGAGCTGGGAGGGGAAGCGAGCCACTTAGCAGGGCTGGGACACAGGCCTTGGCCGGGCAATCAAGCCTGGCACAGCCACTGAAAGACCTCAGTGTGCCTGACTCTTTGCCCATGGTCTCTTCTGCCACCCAGCCCTTCACTGGATGCTCTGGTGGTGCTGAGCCAGCGGCCATGCCCTGAACACACTGTGTGCGGCTTGCTCTCTCACAAACTGGACAGAAAGTCCACCCCTTGGCCTAGCCCGCCAGCTTCCCTCCACCATGCAGTCCCCAGCAGGACATCTGGGATGTCTGTTTTCAGCACTCAGCCCTTTGCCAGGTGTGGACTGGCCAGCCCCCGTGGCCACTAGAAGGCATTAGGTCCCATGGTTTTATTTGCAGGCCACATCAGTCAATGCCCACGGGTCCTGCCTCTCCCTCCCTAGACTGGAGACTTGGGAAGACAAAAAGTAGAAATTTTTCTTTGGCCAACAGCCCAGCCCTAGCAGACGCAGGAATCTGTGAGACTGCCAGTCCTGAGGCCCCCGGGGGGAAGAGGGATCTGGTTCTTGCCCAGGATCTGGGCAGCACTGAGAAGAGGTCTCTGCTGAGTGGCATGCTCAGGCCAGGAGTCCCAGAGGGTCTGCAGGAAGCCCCTGGGATCTCCCATCTTCACAACCTACATCTATACCAGAGAACTCCAGCTGCCCTCCTACCCCTGAACTTTGGGACCTGCCCAGGGCGCACTCAATAGCCCAGAAAAGGACAGGGCACAGTCATGGCTCGACCGGCTAATTTGTGTCCCTATGCCCATCACCAGAATTTGGATTCGATGAGGTCTGGGTGTAGCCAGCTGGGCCAGGCCTACGTAAAGTTAGCCCCGTTTCGCTGAGCCTGACTGTTTCCTCTAAGGCCCCTGAGCAGCATGCAAGTGAGGCCCCCCAGTAGTGACAGGGGGACACTGGGGACAGGGGGTGATGCTGGATGCAAACCATGGTCAAGAGAGGCATGGTCTGCATTATGCTAATGGGTGGGCAGTGGCCAGCTCCCTGCGGCGGGACCACAGCTCAGAAACACCTGGGCTTTGACATGAGTCCGAGCTCTCAGCCGGGAGGCTGGGAAATCACCTTCATCTGTCGGTGGATCCAGTCTGTAAACACTGTCACATTCCCGTACACTCCTGGCCGGTTAGCCTTGGCGCAGCCAGACCCCCAGCTCGTGTCCCCAATCAGCCACCAGACGCTGCTCTTCAAAGTGACCAGAGGACCACCACTGTCACCCTAGGGGACACAGCACATAACAGAGCAAAAATCAAACCACAGCTGGGTGCACCACTGACCTTGCACAGAGGGTGGGGGTCGGGTGGGGGTCTCAGTGGGACTTCCAAGTGGGTGTGTGGGTGTCCTATCTTCTCCAAGAAGATAACAGTATTATAATCCCCCAAAAGACCGTACCAGCAATGAATTTTAGTCTTTATCGGCTAAGAGTTACTAAATCAATTGGTGTCCGTGTTTAAAATAGTCGAATACTTATTTCTGTTCTACGGACACTCAGACAATATAAAATCCGTCTGGAGGAAGCCGCGGCACGTGGGTACCGCCGATGGTACAAAACCTTCCACTCCATGACCGTCAGCCACCGTCGTGTCCCACAGCTGCCCCAGAACCTTCTTTCTTAAGGGCGGGAAGGGGGCTCACTGGCTCACTGGGGTAGGCAAGGCCCAAAGGCTGAGCACGAAGTTGCAGTCACCTGGCAGGAATCGACGCTCCCTCCCAGGTACCCGGCGCAGATCATGGCGGGTGTGATCAGGTGGTTGTAGACGAATCTGCTGTTGCACTGCGCGGGCTCGATGAGGGGCACCATCGCCGCGTTCAGCACGTCCGACGTCTTCCCTGAGACACATGTCAGCGCACAATCAGTCCAGGCAGCGGCTCCTCCCGGGATGGGCCACTTCAGACACTAGATAAGTGGCCCTGGCTCCACCCCTCCCTCCTGCCATCTCCTGGGGAACTGGGTCATCCTTGTAGCTGGCGGGTCTGCGCCTAGGTTTTGGTTTCAGGGAGAAGACTTCCTGCCCCTGGAGCTACGGAACTCCACCCATGTTCCAGAATCATCCTCTGTCCTTAGTGACTTGGCTCTGTCAGATCAACATGCCTCATTCACGGCTCCCTCTTTACTGGACCATCCCCAGCCCGCCAGGAGCTCCTGTTTCCCACCGTAAACAAGCAGGCCTTTCTTCATCCCACACCCTCCTCCGGACACTGTCTCCCTTGTCAGACTGAGGCACAAAGACTGCGTGAGCTGCCCAAAGCCACCCGATCACTCAGGAGCAGAACCAGGATCGAAACCTGGGCCTCCCACTTCCAGACCCAGGGCTGTGTTCGTGGGACCTGCAGATGCGCCTGCCCAGCAGCCTCACCTTTCTCGTAGGTGGCCCCCCACCCGGAAATCCAGCAGGGCTGTTTAGGCTCCAGCCTCATGCCTGGGTTGGGCAGACACACAGGTTTCACTTTGTCTGTTCCAAGAAGAAAAAAACACCGTGAGCGAGTCTGGTCTACCCAAAGGCAGGGGTCCTCTTGCAGACCTGCCCCATGTGTGTGGTGCTGGGCCATCTGCCCAGAGAAAATCCAGGTTCCGACAGGTCCCGGCATTCCCACCCTCTGCCCTGCCAGAGCCCTCCTTCCAGCAGGCAAGACGCTTGCTTCTGGGTATAATGCGACTTATAAATGGAATGATTTGCTAGTTCTGTTTCAAAACACACAAAACTGCCCTGGCCAGCGTGGCTCAGTTGGTTGAGCGTTGGCCCATGCACTGAGAGGTCGCCATGGTTCAATTCCTGATCTGGGCACATGCCCAGGTTGTGGGCTTGATCCCCAGTAGGGGGTGTGCAGGAGGCAGGCAATTGCTGGTTCTCTCTCTCTCTCTCCCCCTTCCTTTCTCTCTAAAATCAATAAAAACGTATTTTAAAAACACACACACACAAAATTAACTTTTCTTCAAACTTAGATCTTCAAGAAATAGAAATGAAAAATACACAATGTCTCCAAGGGACATAGGGTAAGAAAGGCAGACTCGTGACAGATTGGTTTTCTCCAGCTACGTGTTTCCTGACTTAAATGCAAACACCTCGGGGGGAAGTTTGCTGCTTCTGCACTCAGGTGGGGCTAGAGCATTCTGGACCCTTGGGTGGACTAGGAGGGGGCCCAAATAAGAAGCTAAGGGAAAGCATGTTTGTTTGTTTTAATCACTTTAAGTTGTTATTATTTTAAAATATTTTATTTCCAGAATTTATGTGAAAGAATCAAGAATCTTTACAAGTTAGAGACCAGCTGGCCTCAACTGGAGGTGATTCTGCCCCCAAGGAACATCTGACAACATCTGGAGACATCTTCCCTTGTCACACTGAGGGTAGCTCCTGGCATTTAGTGAACAGGCGCCAGGGATGCTGCTAAACACCCTGCAGTATACAGGACAGCCCCCCACCAAGACTCAGGCAGCCCCAGGTGTCAACAGTGCTGAGGCTGGAACCCTTTTCTAGACTCTCACGTTTTGGTTAAATTACCGCCCTACGTGGAGGAAAGCACGGTGGTCCCTGCTTCCCTCAGTGCGCATGGGCACATGTTCCGGTGATCTGGCTTCCACTGAGCACGCTTCTACCAGCCAACTGTCCGCACACCACCCCGACTCCACGCAAAGTCTTCCTTCCATCTACCACAGCACCAGTTTTATTTCCAATAACCTCTCCTTCAGATTTGGTCAAAACTGTTCCCACGCCCCGAGCCCCACAAAAAAGGTCCGCACCGTTAAAAGTCAGAGGTGTCTGTAGCTTCATGAGAGCGATGTCATTGTTCTTGGACTTGGAATCATAATGGGGATGAGAAATCACCTTTTCCACTCGGTACCCTTTTCCAAAGAACATGACAGACTGTCTCAAAATTCCTGCAAAGGCCGTCCAGTACCGCGGATTGTTCAGGGGTCTGGAAGACAAAGATGACACCCCTCAGCATCTCACAACCACACACGTGGAGCCCTCATTCGGTGACCAAAAGTCACGATGGAGCCAAGGAATCCAGGGGTGACGGGACCCGCCGAAGCCAGCGAGACCAGTGAGGGGGCTCAGGCTCTCCCGGCCCCACCCCGCACGGCCTCCTGGGCGCCGCCCCTCTTCCCGGCCCCCGCTCACCTCCCAGGTGTGGCCTGGGCCCCCCGAGCGTTGGCGGCGGCGGCCCACAAACCCTCGCAATTCCAAGAACATTTTTCCTTGGACCTAAATGCCTGAGTTTTTAAACCTCATTTCTGGCAGGACCAGATCTTACCTACCCTTATGTGCTAGGGATTTCCTGACACACAGTAGGTGCTTAATAAACGCATAGTGATGAATAGACTCTAGGCCTCTAGCCATCTAGGTATTATCTTTATCTAGGTGTTTCCCAGTAAGAGCATCCCAAATCCTAGCGAGCCAGCAGAGGACCCTGGAGGGAAGGCAGGCCCAGCCCGGGTGACAAACACTGCTTCCTTCAGCGGTCACCACGGCCCCCGGGAAGAGCCAACACACCTGTCTTACAGGTGTAGGCTCTACGGTCAGACACCCGGCGTGAACCGCCCGAGGCCACACAGCCGAGCCAGGCCCCGCCACACTCTAAACCAGAAAAACAGCTCAGATGAGTGAGGTTTCCTCCCAAATTGACATGTGAGCAAACACCTCTATGTTTAAGAAAAAAGGAGTGGGGGGCAGTACCTTCCACAAAAGCTAACTAACACTATAAATTGTGCCTACCCTTGCCCCTCCCAGCCGGCCGTGTGGGCAGCACTGTGGCCAACGGCACTTAACGGAGGCCACGGGGAACCGCCCAGCAGGGGAGTGTGAGGTCTCTGCGCGGGTCCGAGTGCGTCCTCTCTGAGGACGGTGGTCCAGAAGAGACCAGAGCTCCCAAGAGGGTAGGAAAGGCCAGGGACATCCCAGCCCCGCCCGCCTCCCTGCTCCCAGTGCGCGCTTGCTGAGGGGCGGGCTTGGCTGCGTGCAACGCGGGCAGTGGCTCGTCACACTCTCCCAGGGATGCCCAAAGGGGGCACCCCTACAACCCCGCTTATACACACGGAAACCGGAGCTTGAAGAGGTCAAAGGACTTCGCTCAAGGTCACGTGGCCACAGAGCCACCTCCAAACAGGAGCCCGAGTCCCACTGTGAACGTACTCTTCCACGCAGTGGGCGGCTGTGACGATCCACTCGGGGGTGATAATGGAGCCCCCGCAGACGTGGACGCCCTGGACGTGCAAGCTGACCTGCCAGGGCCAGTCTCCCAGGGCGGCATTCATCCCGCCCACGATCCGACTCTGGCGGCCCATCTTCGTGTTGATCCCGCACTCTGAGGGCGACAAGCACAACGCAGCCGGCCAGTGAGCAGAATCCGGGCCACCCTGCACCTCCCCGATACCACCCACGGGCAGAGTACGCCCGGACGGCTCCCGTCCCAAAGGTCCCGCCACGCAGGTGGACAACTACTGCCGCCTCCAGTTCCCGTCTGCTTGGGGCCTGATTTTGGAGAACATGTCCTGGTCTCTTTTTCGTTGGACGGATGAGAGGACACTCTCACCCCCTCCCCGCAGGAAGCCCCACTTCTGCTGACACCGTGATTCCAGACACCCGGCTGGGGGTCTTGAATGACAAAGGCCCTGGGGTCTCCTGAGTCCCACAGGTGGCTGGGGGGCCAGAGGGCAGGGCTGGAGGGTGGGGCAGGCACCACGCCCTCTAGATACCTAAGCACGCTTGAGCCCAATCGGGCTGGGAGGCTACTGCCAGGACCACTGGGACATGTGGCCACCGGGAGCATCTGCTAGTCTCACCCCTTCAATCAGAAAAGCTGAGCTTCAGGATGGAGAGCCCATAAAGGATCGGGACAAGCCGGCCCAGAGCGGGAGCACAGGACGGAACCTTCCCTCCTGCTGAAAGGCCTGGAAACGTAAGTAACCCAAACACAGGCCTCCAGCTCCACTTCGGGGGCTCAAGAGTGGGCCCCCTTCTCTCTTCCCATTCCCAAAGACACAGGGGAGACGTATCCGAAAGCACAAAATCTCTCCTTTCTCACACACAAAGAGGGGAACCAAGACTCACTCACCTATACAGCGTAAAGAAACCACTGTTTTTGAAGAACAGGCATCACTACAAAAGAAAGAAAATTTTGGTCACAACAAGTGAGTTGACAGTCGACTCTCAAAATACTTAGAAATGAATGTTTTCTCCCCCGGCGCCCTCACTCCCCTGCCTCCCCAGACGCGCCGTGGACGGGTCCGTGATCGAAGGCTCAAGTCAGGAAAGCAAAGCCACACATGGGACAGTGGTGAAGAGCAGACCCTGAGTGTGGGTTCAGACCCCAGCTACTTAACGTCTGTGCCTCAGTTTCCCCACATGCAGAATGGGCTGATAACAGCACCAACTCCTAGGGTTGTCTGGAGGGTGAGCACGCAACAACGTCAGCCTTACTTTTATTCTGGAAGTTTAAATCATCCTCCCCTTTTTTAAGGGAGCCATCTGGAAACTTCAGTTTCCCATGACTGCTTTACGTTTATCGCACAGAAAACAATACAATCAATTATTTGCCCGGGAGCAAAAGATAACAGAGTTACTCGTTTGGGAGGTTAACATTCGAGGTTCAGATGAAAAAGAGATGACTGGTGCATTGTGTTATAGAGCGAACTTTCCTCCAATACGCTGAGGAGGAGCGAAGCTGCCCTGACATCTGGGCATTCACAGCTGGCGGCCGTCCACTGCCCCAAACAACTCCACAGAGACCACCACCGGGCCAGCCCATTGCTTCGTGAGAAAGCAGGACTCAGGCACCCATGGCGACCATCAGCCCCCCTGCTGGCCACGGTGCCTGGGGGTAGCCTGGCTTCATGTCACCCACCTTCCAGAAGAAAAGCACTGAGACACCAATCCAAAAATCACCCTCGGTTCCGGACAGCGTCCAATCCAGAGCAAATCCCCGCTTCTCTGAACCTTCCCCAAAATGACCCAACGCAAGCCCCAATCCTGTAAGTCGTTTACAACACCCTTCTACCGACAGGATCTACGGTTCCAAGGACCACAGGGGTGTCCGGTGGCTTCTGGCTGAGGGACGGTGGCAATGCCAAGCGAAGCACATCCCCGTGGAAAGCTGTTTCCTAAGAATCCTAAGGTCGATTCTCCCTCTACAAGGAAATGCAGCTGTGCAGTCACCAGCCTCTGGGCACCTGTGGCCACTCGGACGAGCCCCACTAGCAGCCAAGGGGCTCAGCTATTGGCAACGTAACATCTGAACCTATAAGAATTTTTTATGAGGTCATTTGAGCCAAACTGACAACAATGGCTGGAGAGCAAAATCGGAATGGATTGAGAAAATGCTCCGGAGAATGGCAGCTCCGCACCTCATTTTATACATTCCAATCAAAGGGGGAGACGGAGGGAGGGTTCCGTGAAACCCACCGGTGACAGACTAGGAGGCGGGAGAAAGCAACGGGGGAAACCTCTGGGGTTGGATGGGCAGTAAAATGACAGACCCACACCTCTTACGTGGGTGGGTGCAGGACTGCTAACAGCCAACCTGATAGTAACGACAATCGGGGGATTTGTGGTCTCCGCTCCGGTGCGGTGATTGTGCTTTGAGGTGGGGGGTGGGAGGAAATTACTTTGATATTCTAAAGCTTTGTTATCTGGTTATGGTAGATGCAAAAAAAGACAACAAACAGGCTCCGTGAAGGCAAAGATTGACCTCTGTTAGGAAAAAATACCGGCCTAGGACATGCCCACCCGCCACGACCTGCTTTCAGTCAGAAAGTTTTCATTTCAGACCATCTGTGTGGTTACTTTAGGTCTCTGGGTTTGCAAGGCCGCCACGCAGGCCTCCCCTGAGCGTGTCAGGTTTAGGATGTGGTCCCTTTTTGTCCACAAGTTAAAGGACAACTTCTGAAAGCAAAAGGGAAGCGTCCCCACCCCCGCCACGTGGGAGGACACCGCATGCCGGGCACACGGCCGCCTCTGCTCCCTCCAAGGCTGCAGCCCCTCGTGGGTACCCACGGCGCTCAGAGAGATGGCAGCCCCCCGCCCCTGCTCCGCCCACCCGCGTGGCATCCAGGGAGACAAAGCGACATCAGCATTTACCAAGGGCCCGGGCAGCTGTGTTTGGCGCCTCTGCCGAGTGAACCGCAGCCCCGCTGTTTTGATGGGTACACCTGGCCTCTCACACCCCTCCCTCCTGGGCTCACCTGTCACATTCCGGGGGACAGCCCGGCCCGGGAGGAAATCAGCCCCCCACACACCTCAGCCAGTGGCCACCAGGAATGCAAACCTGCTCTGGCCTCCCACTCACAGGGAAGGGAGAGGAGTGATTCATTCATCCTGCCCTGAAACGGCACCTGGCCTGCGGGGAGGTGATGGCTGGCTAACCACCTGGGAGGAGGGACCGGGACCCGGGAGCTGGGGCAGGCCCTTCACAAAGGACCCTGTGTCTTTTACATGAAAGAACATTCAGATAGTGACAATCCTCGGGAGACCGTAAACATTTTAAATACACGCAAAACAAATGGAGTAGCTTCGCCGCCCCTTCCCCCCCCTCCTAGCCAGTGACGCCATCAATCTGGTGTCCTGTTGTTTGGGTTCATTTCCACCCACAGGACGCACTGTGACCCACCCAGGACACACTGTGACCCACCAAGGAGCACTGTGACCCACCTGGGACCGCAAGTCCACTTGGAGGAACAGGAAATGATGGCTGACCTGAACCAGCCGCTCCCTCCCAGGCTCTCCCAGGACATCCTGGGCAGCAGGACTTCTGGTGCTAAAACCAGCCAAGCAGGATGAGTTGGTCACCCTGCTGGGACCCCGAGGTGCTCTCTTGGTTTCTCGAGACCCTTCCTGACACAAAGTAGGTTCAGCTCTAATGTCTGATAGTGAAGAAAATAAAACCGACTCTCTGTTCTGCAATGTCATCCAAAACCAGAGGGCAGAGGGCAAAACATGGCACATACACCTCCCCCAGAAGGAGCCCAGGGCCGCTCAGGGCAACCGGCCCTGCGTGGAGTCCAGGCTCCATGCAGTGAGAACTCAGCCAAACCCGGCGTCGCCGCTCAGGAAAATCAGACTCGGGCCAGTGACGCCCCGCGACGTCCCCTCGCCGTTCTCATTATAAATTTTTCCAAGGGGAACAGAAATCACCAAATACCTGTGGTAGAGCTTTTTGTAGAGGTCGGTGTTGCCGGCACTTACGTTCAGCTTCATAAAGCTGGTGGCCCCGCTGTCATCCACTATCCCTTGGCTAGAATAAAAACTATTCCTGAAGAAGACAGAAAATCGTGCTTACATTAAAGGTTAAGTCGTAAGCGACCACAAATCCTGTGCTGTACCACAACGCTCGCCTTGCAAGAAGTTCAGGTGAAAGGGAACGCCGTAGCGCTTCGCAAAGTCCTCCATCAGTGGTGCTTCCAATCCAGTTTGGGTTAGGATAGAGAAAGGAGACGGAGTCCTGGCTGGGGCTCAGTGGTTAGAGCATGGGCCCGGAGGGGTCGGACTCCCAGTCAGGGGCACGTACTTGGGTCTTGGGTTTGCTCCCCACCCCGGGTTGGGGCGCATGCGGGAGGCAATCAGTCAATGTGTCTCTCATATCAATGTGTCTCTCTCACATCAGTGTTTCTCTCCCCGCCCCCCCGCCACTCTCTCTGAAAAGCAATGGAAAAAATACCCTCATGTGAGGATTAAAAAATAATAAAAAATTTTTAAACAGAGAGAAACGAGAATGCGGATGCTCTGACAACATTTACGCACGCTGAAGTGCCCAGTTACAAATTCAGGTCCTGGACCGTGACGGGAGCTTCACTACGTCATTCTACCTGCAGTGGGGGGTGGCATCTTGAAGTGTTTCCTTGGCTGAGATGCATGGTTTTATCAAGTGGTAGGTAATTCACTTTGAAACCCGGCAGATAGAGGACACCCTAGAATTGCATAGAAGCCACACAGGGGCACCCCGTGGAAGAGACGGTGGTAATCAAAGCCTACGGCCCTGCCTCGTGGGGACAGGCGGCTGCCGAGCGGTTCCCAGGTGATGCCCTGGGGAGCGCTGGCTGGGGCTCCGGGAGGGGACGCTCCCTTCTCCTGCACATTCCCTGTGGCTGCGGGCAGGGAAGACTTCTCTCGTGCATAAGTCCGATGATGAATTCTCTCACATTCAGTCTTCACTGCCTCCCATGTGCATGCCCTGAGGGTGGTGCAGGGCCTGTTCCTGCCAACCTTCCCCAGCCAGCCTCCCCACTCACTGCAACCCAGCTCCCACCAGGGGGGCCCTGGGTCTGCATCCTGGACCCTGGGGACCGCAGCACTGGGTGGTCCTGAGGAACCAGGAGTAGATGGAGGTCCAGGC